TTGATGGCACCTGACAGCAACAACAACAACCCTACACACCAAGGAGTTCTGCTAGCGTAGTGGTTACAAATCAGGCTGCGAACCTTAAGGTCAGCAGTTGGAAACTACCAGCTGTTCCTCAGGAGAAAGATGAGGCTTTCTGCTCCCGTAAAGATTTACAGCCTCGGAAACCCTGTACAGGGTCGCTGTGAGTTGGTTCCAACTCCGTGGCACATAACCACTATCACCACCACCACCCTACACACCTGGAGTCTTGGTGTGGCACTGTAAGATAAGAACTGACTACTAACTAAAAGGTTGGTGGATCAAGCCCTCCAGCTGCTCCTTGACAAACTTAATACAGGGTCACTTTGAGTCAGTACTGACTTGATGGCACATAATCACAACAACCCTACACACCTGTGAATCACCTAGCAAATATGTATAGCTTAAAAGAAGCTATACTATTTTAAGTATAACTCATATCACTGATTTTATATTTACTGCTTGGACCTTTGGACCTTCCCTAGGAAGTTTCATAGTGTTATCTTTGAAACAACTGGAAGGAAAAAAGAACTGAAAGGGTCTTCCACTTCATGCTTCATTCAGCCTCTGTGTGTATGTGTGTTTAGACATGTGCACATGCTCTATCACAAATATATAAAAGTAGTAATGGGCTTCTAATAAAAAATAATTAAAGGCTGGTAGACTGCATTTTGAGGATCCCTGGTGGCAGCACAGTGGCTAAGTACTTGGCTGCTAACTGAACAATCCACAGTTAGAATCCACCAGCTGCTCTTCAGGAGAAAGATGAGATAATCTGCTTCCATTAAGATTACAGCCGTGGAAAAATCTGAGGGCGTGTCTATTCTATGGACTCTTAAAAATATATATGGTATTTTAAGACATTTGAAAAAGGTAATTTTTAAAGAGAGGAGTGATTTCATCAGTATAACAGTGTTCTTAGCAACTGTCATCAGGGAAACCAAGGCAAGTAGGCCTTAAATTTTAAAGCCCTGTCAATACTGCCCTGGTATGATGCTGTAGGTTAATGCAGTGGACTGCAAAGTCGGTTTAAATTGCAAGGTTGGCGGTTCAAGCTTACCAGTTGCTCCTAAGAAACCCTATACGTGGTCGCTATAGGTCAGAACCAACTTGACAGCACTTAACAACAACATATTATCCAAGGGTCCAGGAATAGATGGCAGATAAACTGAAATTTTTGATAAACTGATGAAGCACTTAGAGGTTCTCACTCATCTATGCCAAGAAATCTGGAAGACAGCTACCTGACTAACTGATGGAAGAGATCCATAACTGTGCCCATTACAAACAGAGGTGACCCAACAGAGTGCAGAAATCATCCAACAATATCATTACTATCACATGCAAGTAAAACTTTACTGAAGATAATTCAAAAACAGCTGCAACAATACATTGACAGAGAACTGCCAGAAATTTAAGCTGGATTAAGAAAAGTTGTGGAACTACTTTATATAATAAAATAGCTGACTTCAGGTAGATCTTGGCTGAAAGCAGAGAATACCAGAAAGGTTTTTACTTGTGTTTCATTGACTATGCAAAGATTTTTTGATGGTGTGGTGGATCATGACAAACTATGGTTAACATTGTGAAGAATGGGTGTTTCAGAACATTTAATTGTGCTCCCAAGGAACCTGTGTGTAGACCAAAAAGCATTTGTTAGACTAGAGCAAGCGGATTATTACTGTTGTTGTTAAGTGCCATCAAGTCAGTTTTTTCTCATAGGGACCCTATATAGGGTTTCCAAGGAGCAGCTGGTGAGCTTGAACCACCAACTTTGCAGTTCCAACCAACCTTGCAATACAGCGCCACATAGAGCAAGAGGATACTGAGTGGTTTAAAATCAGAAAAGGTGTGCACCAGGGTTGTATTCTTTCACCATACTTATTCATTCTGTATGCTGAGCAAGTAATCGAGAAGCTAGATTATATGAAGAAGAATGTGGCATCAGGATCCTAGGAAGAGTCTTTGGTAACCTGCAATATGCAGATGATTCAGCCTTGCTTGCTGAAAGTGAAAAGGACTTAAAATATTTACTGATGAAGATAAAGGACTACAGTCTTCAGTATGGGTTGCACCTCAATGTAAAGAAAACAAAAATCCTCACCATTGGAACAATAAATAACATTATGTTAAATGGAGTTAAGATAGAAGTTGTCTAAGACTTCATTTTGCTTTGATCCATAATCATAACTCATGCAAGCAGCAGCCACAAAAAATCAAACAACATATTTAGCATTAGGCAAATCTGCTGCACAAGACCTCTTTAAAGTATTCAAGAGCAAAGATAACAGTTTTGAGGACTAAGGTGCACCTGACCCAAGCCAGATATTTTCAGTAGCCTCATATGCATGTGAAAGTTGAACAATTAATAAGAATTGATGCCTTTAAATTATGGTGTTGGAGAGGATTATTGCCTATACCATGGACTGCCAGAAGAACAAACAAATCGGTTTTGGAAGAAGTACAGCCGGAATGCTCCTTAGAACCAAGGATGGCAAGACTTCATCCAAAGTACTTTGGACATGCTTTTTAAGAAGGACCACTCCCTGGAAAAGGACATCATGCTTGGTAAAGTGGAAGGTCAGCAAAAAAGAGGAAGATCCTTGTCGAGGTCCTATGTCGGGGTCCCGCCTTGACAAGAAAGTATGGGTGTCACAAAGAAGGGAGATCTGGTGGTGAAAGTGATAAAGAGAGAGACTAAATATATACAAAAAAGACAGACGCACAGATATGATGCAAGCTGGCAGGTAGACAGATCTGCAAACATTTTGCCTAGCATTGCTCAGCATTGCACAGCATTGCATGCAGAATTCACTCTACCTCAGCCTTTTATTCACTTTTTTAGGGAGGGATTTGTTACAAAGGAAGGATGTAATTCACTCAGGGAGGATGTCACAAAGGGAGGATGTGATTAAGGCAGGATACAGAACTGAAATGTGATTAATCATTCAAAACAGGACATAATGATTCACAGGAACAACTTTTAAGATATTTTCATAGTTTTTCTTAACAATCTAACATTTTTATTTTTACAGAAAAAAAGGTTCAATCAAGCTGTTCTATATTAACTTTTAGGCTTAAATGATCTAGAGTAGCAACGTGACGTTTCTTAAGGATACATAACATAAAGCAAGGTTCCTGAAAGGAGCCAAGCTGTCTCTGTACACTTTGCAAACTTTCGTTTGTGAGCAAGATCTCAGGCACCGGGCTTCATTTATCTATACCTAAAATGCTACATTGTTCTTAATTATCACATTCCTATATACTTTCAGGAGGAAGGAGAGCATCTGGGTTAGACTGATTATATTTAGAGGTGGTTTAATGGGGCTGCCACAGATCAACCCAGGGTCTGCGTATGCTGTCCCCAGCAGATCCTCAACAAGGTGGATTGGCACCTTGTTGCAGCAGCAATGGGCTCAAGTGTAAAAACAATTATGAGGATGGCGCAGAACCAGACAAGTGTTTCATTCTGTGTGTACAGGGCAGCTATGAGTAAGAAACAACTTGATGGCACCTAACAACAATATACTATCCATTTTAGGTTATTTTTTAGTGGAGGGACATAGAATAAAAATAATTATTTTATTTAATTAACATAAATTAAATTAATTCCTATGTCACTAATCACACGTGGCTACTGGCTAACGTGCTGGACAAGTACATAGTTACAATACAGATGTTCCAGAAAACATAATCACAGAAAGCCCAGTTAGACAGTGCTCACCTTTTCATATTCACAGTTCCAAAGCACAAAAAGCTCTGACAAGTTTGCCACAAACTCATTTGACAGCAAAACTAACCTGAACGGTTGTGATCCTATTTAGTGTTGCACCATAGCAAAGAAGAAGGTACGCCAAAAGTGTGTAGAAAGATTCCATTATGTTTTCATTCACTTTTTCCACAAACTTTCAAAGCCTCCTTATATTTTTGTATATTTCCTTATAAAGCCTCCTTGTATATTTCCTTATAAAAATAACGCCACAGAATATTTGTGAGATCAGTTATACCTCAGAGGGTGTTATATGTTATACAGTGTACAGTATATGCACCTGATTATAACACATATACCTCAAGGATTTTGGATAAGGGACTAGGGACCTACATTTGAAGAGAGGAACTCTATTTAGTTAAATGAAACGAAGATGTAGAAACTCTTATCTTGTGGTCTTGGACACATTATGTTAACTTTTCTGAGCCTCACTTTGACCATTTAAAAAATTATATAAGTAATAATCCCATCAAAAATAATAATCACATTTCCCTTATCTTTTTACCCAGAGTTATTTTAAAGATATATTAAGATAATAGCTGTGAAAATATTTTATAAACTGAACTATATAGGTTGTTATTAGGAGAAAGTTTGATTTGATTTGACATAGGTCACTTACATTTCTCTTGTGATTTTAATCCATAGATCGGGGCTGCTAGTCGTATACCTGGAGTGACACCTGCTGCCATCATCAATCTGCTCAGATTTGTGAAAACCTCTCAGCAAAGACAAGCTGCTATGAATGAATTACCTAAAACTGATCAATACTTAACGTGATGCTGACCCGCTTTAAGAGAAAGAGTTAATAGCTTTCTGTTCATAGAAGAGATTTTAAGAGAATGTGAGTGATTTAATCCATACAAGGGTATAGATAAGAGATAAGAGCTATTTGGCACCTGTTAAAATAGATTTATTGGGTTATTATGGATTTACCATTAATTTATGAAGAGGACAGAGATTGTAATGATGGCTTTTTTTGTATATCTGAAAATATAATTGCACACTTATTTTATACCATTTCTTATAGGCGCTCTAGTACAATGAGCCTACTCTTACAACATTGCAATGTTCATCCAAAAAAGGCATATTGGACATAAAACTGAAACTGGAAAAAAAAGGTGTCCATTAACATAATAAATAAAATTTTGATCTTTCAACTCATTTTGAAAGTTAGTAATCTTATGTTTAGCCCCACCCCCCACCCCCCAAATCCATTGTCATTGAATCGGTTTTGACTCTCTTGGGGAGCAGGCAGCCTCACCTTTTTCCCATGAAGCAGCTGATGGGTGTGAACCACTGGCTTTGTAGTTTTAAGTCCAGTGCTTATCCTACACAGCCATTGCACTCTCTTATACTTAGTTATTGTTAAGTGCCATCGAGTCGATTCTGACCCATAGCAACCCTTTATAGGGTTTCCAAGGAGCAGCTGGTGAGCTTGAATCACCAACCTTGCAGTTGAAATGACTTTGCAGTCTGATGCATTAGCCCGCAGCGTCACACTAGTACTCCTATGCTTAGTTAGGCTAGTCCAAAAGGCAGCATGAAAGATACATTTACTAGTTGCCAAATCCTTGGGGTTAAAATTTGACACTATACTAGATTATCTAGAATCATTCAGCTAATTTCCTGTATTGAAATGTAGTATGCAGAGTAAAAGTTGACTTCTGTGATTTCTGTGTTCTGGTTGCATAATGGGTTATGAGTTGGGTTGCTAACCACAAGGTCAGCAGTTCAAATCTACCAGCTGCTCCATAGGAGAAAGATGAGGCTTTCTGCTTCTAGGAAAACTCTATACAGGGTTGCTATGAGTTGGAACTGACTTTAGGGCACATTAAGAAAGACAACAAACAGGAAATCCTCACCAGTAATCATCTTTAAACATTAATGAATACCCTATATAGTAGGAATATTGGACAATACTGTAGTTTCCTATCCAAAATATGGAAATTTATTTGGTAACCCAGTTGTTGTTGTTGTTAGGTGCCATCGAGTCAGTACTGACTTATAGCGACCGTATGCACAGCAGAACGAAACACTGCCCGATCCTGGGCCAACCTAACTATTGTTGCCACGCTTGAGCCCATTGATGCTGCCACTTTGCCAATCCATCTCGCTGGAGGTCTTCCTCTTTTTCTCTGACCTTACCAGACACGATATCCTTCTCCAGCAACTGGTCCCTCCTGAAAATATGTCCGAAGTATGAGAGATGAAGTTTGGCCATCCTGGCCTCCAAAGAGTACTCTGGCTACACTTCTTCCAACACCGATCTGTTGATTCTTTTGGCATCCCATAGCACTTTAAATATTCTCCTCCAACACCATAACTCAAAAGCATCAATTCTTCTATGGCCTCCCTTATTCACTGTCCAGCTTTTGCATGCATATGAGGTTATTGAAAATACCATGTTCTGGGTCAGGCATACCTTACTCTTTAAGCTGACATCTTTGCTCTTCAACACTTTAAAAAGGTCTTGTGTCACAGATTTGCCCAATGCAATACATCGTTTGATTTCTTGACTGCAGTTTCCATGAGTGTTGATAGTTGATCCAAGAAGAATGAAGTCCTTGACAATTTCAATCTTTTCTCCATTGGTAAGAATGTCGTTTATTGGCCCAGTGGTGACGATTTTTGTTTTCTTTATATTGAGATGCAATCCATACAGAAGGTTGTGCTCTTTAATCTTCATCAGTAAATGTT